TAGGGAAAGCACCTTCAGTCATTCACATGCACAAAGGAGGCAGTCAGCACTGATGTTGAAGTGACTCACTATAGCTGTATTTCCAGAGAACAGAGATTTCTAAAACATTAGTTTTGATGCCTGTGCGTCCACTTATTTTTGTCCTCACTGTGGCCAAAGATAAGCTTTACCTGAATCTGACCAAACTGAGATTTGTACTGCAAATGGTCCTTGAACCAGGTTGTCTTCTGTTTAGGAGTGCTGCTGAGTTAGACTGTGTGCTTTGGTCTTGGATGTCTTGGGTCTTTTGTGTTGTACCTTTGCTCTCACAATGCTCCTCACCAGAGTGGTAAAGGAGATTTTGAGATTGGCAATTTCTGAGTAACACCTGCTTGTCAGAGTGTGTTGCTCCTCTGCTGCCAGCAGATGGATTCCACCCACGGTTTCATGCTCAGATTGCAAATCAAAGTATTTTGCATCACTTTTGCTAGGTTATTTTATTAAAATGTGGCAACTTCCTAGATACACATATGCATACATTTTATATGTATACATAAGGTATTATTCTGGCCTTCAATAAAAGTAAAAAATTGAGCCAGCAGGTGGTTGTAGCATGAAGAGTGGTGTATACAGTTCCCCAAATCTTGAAATGACTGTACAAATAAGCTGAAAGGAGAATATCTGTATTGAAAATAAAGTTTCCTACAGTGCTTATAAAGTCTTGCTTCAGTTTCAGTAGACACACATGCCATTTCTGAGAGCTTTTCCAACAGGATTGTCAACATGCCTGGATGATGGTGAGGAAACAAACTTCTGCTTCTAAGCTGTTCATACATGTACAGCTCAATTAGATGATCTTTCTCTGTTGATTGGATCAAAGCATGGGTCCAGCATCTGCTGAAGGACCAGCTGCTTCAGGAATACTTCCAACAGGCAGGTAGAGAATAGATATAAATAAAGCTTTGTCCTGTCACTAGCTGGAGAGATGTTAATTTCATGGCCTGAACTGTGAAGGGTTTGGTTTCGCTTCAGGAATACTTCCAACAGGCAGGTAGAGGATAGATATAAATAATAGATATAAATAAAGCTTTGTCCTGTCACTAGCTGGAGAGATGTTAATTTCATGGCCTGAACTGTGAAGGGTTTGGTTTCCTTTCAGGATCCTACATAAATATAAATGTTTTTAAAAAGCCAAAGCATTCGGCAAGTGGGGAAATGTTTGTGGGTTTAACTTATTTCTGATGTCCAAGGAAGAGCTGCCACCACAGCAGCATTTTCCTTGGCAGAAGCCAGTTTTGGTTGATCAGAACATGCCATTTCAGCTGAGTTGTGCAGGCAGAATGACTCTGGTGCCCAAGTTCTCTCAGTGTCATAGGAATAACCACATCTGAGCAAAATTAGTTCCTAAACTACCTCTGGATCCATTTTTTAACAGTTCTTAATAAATAGGTTTTGGCTAATGGTTGTTCATGCTACTTAACACATAGTGACTCTTATTGTACTGGACTTCTGAACTCTTTGGCCTTAGAAAGTTACTCAAATGCTCAAACTTCAAGGATCACTTTACTTGCTGCTTTAAATTCTGTCCCTAACTGACCAGCACTGGGAGCTGAAGTGACAAACTGCATCTCTTACAACACTGCTTTAAGAATGGTACCATAGAGTTAATTTTACTGTAGTTGCCACAATACAATAAATTACTTCTTAGAGACTTATATAGATCAGGAAACAATGGCAGATTAAGCACTTGGACTAGGATGTAGGACAGACCTACCATAATGCTCTTGTTCAGGCAGTAATTTTAGTAAGTGTGCTTTCCAACTAGTACATTATCCTGAAGTGTCCTGTCCTGCCGTGTTCTCGCTGGCACCAGGCCCAGCCTGGTTCCCTCTGTGAGACACAAAGCCCGTGTGGTCCCGGGCAGGGGGGTCAGGCTGCCACTCAGCAGAGGTTGCTCAGGTTATCAGCACTGCTCTGACAAGGGCAAGGGTGTCTGAGAGGTCTTTGGGGATGACAAATCTGTGACTTCACTAATACCAACACTGACCCCTTAACAATAAAACCACTGAGCATTTCCCTGTGGTTTCTGCATTGTTATGGCTGTGACCTCTCTGGAACTGGGAAGAGCAGGACTGAAATGTTTGGGGGCATTTCACACATTTCACTGGCACTTCTCTGCCTGAACAGGGGAAGGAGCTCTCAATCTGCCTACTATGATGGGGAGAAGAGCTCCTTTCACACCTAATAGATTTGATGAACAGAGAGGACAGAAGTACTGGAGTGATGAGGAGGAGGGAGAAATGCATTAATCTTCCCATTTCAGAAAAGAACAGTTGGAAATGTTCAAAGATAAGTGATTTTCTACATGGCCTTTGCTCCATTTGCTCCAACACTTTGGGTGTGCTTAGCAAGCTGTGTAAAATGCTGCAGTCAAGGTGCTCCAGGTGCTGAAGAACCTAGGAGGCATTTAGAGATCTGCCATTTTCATTTTTTAACTGTGTCATCGCAGACATAATCCAGAATTCTTGCTGTTTATTATTTTGTCAAGAACAGTGCTAATATACTGTCTTATTAGCTTTTGACTGAGAAATTCACATAAAACTATGGTAAAGACTGACATTTAAAGCCAGTAAAAATGCCTTCCACAGGGGTCACTCATAAAGGACCTTATGAAAATAGTGTTCAGATGCCAGGGGTTTTTAATCAAAACTGAAATGCTTTTGCAAGGTCTCTGCCCAGGAAATAACATTTAATTTTTTCTGATAATGATTTACATCAGATTATGAAAAATGTGGTTCCACGCTCCATTGAATCTAATTTGTTTCCTAACTATGAACAAAAATAAATTAACAAAAATCTCCATGTGCCTGTTTTTCCTAGCAGAAAAAAATGCTGGCTTTATGCTTTAAAAAGGAAAAAGCCTCTGACTGACCTAAGCTAAGTGCCCAGTGTTGGCCTTGGCTACTTCCCAATGTTGAGTGTGAAGATGATTCGGCCCAGGAATCGGTCGCTGTTGAGGTCATTGATGATACCTTTTCCATGCAGACTGCACTGAATAGGGACCAAATAATTCCTCTTCACATCTGTGAAGTGCATAGCTACCAGTGGGGATGTGTAGTTGACCTGAAAAGAAGGGAGATTTAAGTGTAACTTTTGAGGGAGCAGAAAAGCAGGTAGTGCTTTCATGTTCAATTACAGTAATTAGTAATTGGTTTAGGGTTCCCAGCCATCTGAGTGCATGTGCCTGATGTCCATCATGCTCCCATGGGATGCTGAAGCTGAGCCTTCCTGTACCTGAACCTCAGAGGGTTGGGATCATGTTGGAGTTTTGCACTTCGCTGTGCCTCTTGGGCTTATTAGCCAGGGCAAGTAAAGCTGGATAATGAGACTGCCAAATACTTTCTGCTGTTCTAAAAACCAACCTATGGCTTGTAATAAGAAATCCCTGGTGTTCCTCAGATCTGTGTGCTCAAAGGACACGTGGGCCTGTCCCTCATCTGCAGCCAGCAGCAGTATGACAATAGGAGACTAGTGCCTGCCTCATCTTTCATTTCAGCTTCCATTTCAGGTGCATTACCTCCTGAGGGTGGACAACCCAGCACAGACCAAAGCAGGGCTGGCCAGCATGTTCAGAAATAGCCACCAATGTTGGACTTCTCTGCTCTGAGCCACCCATCTTGAGGTGGTTTTATTGTAGCCTTGACAGAAGCCCAATCCTTTTCCTCTTGTGTCACCTATCCTCTGACTTCCCTAATGCCCTGGGAAAGTGCTGGTGTTGAGACATCCTCTGGGAGCTGGCAAAGCCAGTCATAGTCTCCAGATGACAAATGTAATCATTCCCAGTGCTGGCAAGGGGGAACTGGAGTCCCCAAGGACTTCCTGTAGTTTGTCAGAGAGAAAAATAGAGTGCTGTAGTCCCAGTGCCCATGGCCTCCCTCCTGCCTGCATCTGCCCAAAATAGCCAGAAAGCACATCTGTACTCTGTGCAGCAGCTCCTGCCCTCTCCTTCCCAAGGAGACATAGCAAAGATGCCTGAGCCCTTACTTACGTGAGTGAACTTGCCATAGTAAGGATAATACATGAGATCAAAAGTCCCATTTCCTGGGTAGAAGTCCACCGATCTGAGATCACTCTCATTGCCTTTCTGTGATTGTGAAAAAAAAAACACACCACAGGTACACACACAGCACGGGGGACACAAAGCACAGCTCCCCAGACAGGTCAGGGCTAAGTGGTGCCTGCCTGCAGGCAGCGTGTTTGCTGTGGGAGCCAGTTGTTGCTGCAGGGAGCCTCGTGCTGGGAAGGCACAGCCGAGGGTGACAGGATTCACTGCCTGTTGATCCCCCTGCGCTTGCCCACTGGGCTCTCTAAGGGTGTGATTCGGCTGCTGCCCAGGCACTGGGAGCCCTCCCTTCACCCTGTTGCAGTTGGTGTGCAGCACCTCAGTACCGACACACTGCTGAGCAAAGAAAGCAGTACCTGCACTTTGCAGTCCACGCTCACAGGGACCCCAGCACCAGGGCGGTAGCCAATGATCTGCAAAAACAAAAGACAACCATGCTTGTATGGAATGTGGTGCCAAGGGCATGCTGCCTCCCTTCCCCAGGGCTTAAGCTCTTCCATGTACCAGTCGCATTGCTCAGGACAGGAGTTCTGTGCCCCTAGAAGCAGGGTCTGCCACCCCATGCAGTGCAGGTTGCCCGTGCCCAGGAGCAGAGGCAGAGCAGAACATTCATAGAGCCCAGAATCCCTGGAAAAATACAGCTACTTCTCCACGCAACTCAAACACCACCACCCTCCCCACCACTTCTTTTCCCAGCAGCTTGCACTGAACAACCATGATGTTAGAAGATTTCAAATAATCTCAATTCTATGAAAATTCCCATTAGAGAGCCTGAGGTCTGAGGTGTGGCCCTAAAGCTCAGTTCCTCCCACAGAGGGGCTGGCACAAGACCCTCCAAGTACTCAGACCTCAGCAAATTAAATCCAGCAAGTTTTGTAGTGTTTCTTTTCTATGTTTTCTGGTAGGTATAAGTCAGCAGGTTTTGTGATTCTAGTTGCTTTCTTCCCTGGTCCTGAGAAGTTTCAGTCCCTGCATGGTCTCTGTAACACTGGGATGCAGTGAAGGAGGGAATTAAGATGTTTAGCTTTCTCTGTACCCGGTTCATCTTCAGCAG